CTTATATAATTTTTTTATCATAAATCTATGGATTAGATTTATGATAGACTTTTGAAACTACAAGAACATAAGGAGGACTTTTACAAAAAAGTAATAGAAATGTTTGTCCAGAAGGATAGGAAAATGGACTTCATCTTCAAGTCAAGGTAAGACCGCCATTTTATTGAAAATGGGATCTTACTAAGAGAGAACAATTCAATATTTAAATGATAAAAATGACATTTTTTGGGTATCCTTTTGTTGAACTGTCTGTTTAAAATTAATCGAAGCATCAGACAAAAAAAGCTTTTGAAAATAATATTATATTTTGGTTTAGGTCAAAATATAATATTTGTAAACCTGAAGAGTCAGTGCCTGTGCCTCACCAGCCATGAACCTCACTGCACGTCACTGCAGAAGCTTATATATAGACATCTAAGTTTTTTGTGCCCCACCACTTTTGTACATATAAAAACGCCACTGCATAATATACTACTCTCCTATTATTAGCTGTTAAAGTTTAACTCAGATTTAGTGCAGGATTCAACCAACCCTGTTGTAGTCTGATAGTTGTCTAATGGGTTTGCAAAGTGGGTAATGTGTATTATGTTGATTTGATCAAGTCTAATGTCTAACTTGGTAAACTCAATAGATCTATAATCATACTAGCCTCCTACCAGATATCTATACATATTTTAAATAATGCATTGTTTAATGATATAGAAATAAAACAATTGTATATCCATTGAAAACCAGTCTAGTGTGTTAAAGAACATCTTCTTGGAAGACAATCATATATTATATGATTGTCTTCCAAGAAGATGTTGTCTTGTTTACATAAAGGAGGCCTTAGTGTGTGAGTAAGCTTCAGAGGTAACATTTTGTGTCTGATGTTAATCCAGACATGCGGGTGGCAGTGATTGGAGCTGGAGTCATCGGCCTGTCAGCGGCTCAGAGCATCTACGAGCAGTTTCACTCCATCGTCAGTCCACTGAGCATCGAGGTGTATGCAGACTGTTTCACTCCTCTGACCACGAGCGATGGAGCTGCTGGCTTGTGGCAGCCCTACCTGTACGATAAAGGCAATGTCCAGGAGACGTAAGTGTATTAACTCTCGTTTGATTCTCCATTGTATCTGCAGAAAATGGCCAATATTTTATACATGCATTTGTTCCTCACATTTAGAAAATGGAATAAGGAAACATTTGACTACTTGCTGAGCTGCCTCAGATCGCCAGACTCTATTCAAATGGGTGTATTCCTTCAGTCTGGCTACAACCTCTGCACTGAACCAGCCCCAGTGAGTAGTGCTTTGTTCTTTTAAAAAGCCTGTCAATCTGTCCTCAAAGATAAGATTTGACCTTGTTTTGGATTTAACAACCAAGAGCAAAGGCAGTTGTAGATATGGTTAAAATGTAACCTCAACTTGTTCATAAATGTATCCCATACCAGTGCTATAGCTACCATAAACACAGTAATTAGTATTCAGCCTCACTAACAGTAGAGCTTTGTTCAGCTTCTCTGCTTTTGTTTTCCACAAATAACAGAGAGGCCTCACCATGGGTCACACTTAAACTCAGAGACTAATTGGGAGTCTGTATTGTGACAAAATGTAACACAGCCAGAACATAAGTGATGTGATCTTTACTGCTTTCTGATTGCAGGATCCCTCATTTAAAGATATCGTCCTAGGCTTCAGACAGCTCACAGAGCGAGAACTGCAGATGTTCCCCGGATACAAGTAGGTTTTGTTGCTGAAACAGCCATAACAAGCAAAACACTGAAAGAATATAAAGCAGAGACGCAAAGAGATAGTTCGTTTCTTCCTTGCTATTGTGGGGGAAACTTCTGTGTAGCAATGCATGGAGTCACCGACTCAGGAAGGAGACACGGTGAGAGTTGGAGCTTTGATGTCAAACACTGATGGGTTTATTCAGAGTATTCGGCCGGAGGATTCACATCACAAGTCAAAGAGTCAGAGGTTCTGACTTCACGGTAGAGTTGCCACGTCAATTCTGAAGAGCCTCTCTCTATGCTAGACCTTTTAACTGGTTCACAGAGAGTAATCAACATCTCTGAAGGAGTAGACTAAACAGCTGGGAACACTGAGCCACCTGCGTCCGACACTCATGGCCTCAAGGATTTCACATCTTAGAGTCCACAAACACCGATAAAGAAGTGCCTCAGCGTTCTCACAACAAGTACCATTCGTGCCAGACAAGTTGACCGGTCACAAACTGGTAACAACAACACATATGGCACCAATGCCTTTCCTTAAAGGAGATAACAGACGTCAGAGTAGATCATAAAACGTCACAGAGCAAAAGGTTAGATATCTAGAAGAATTATTCCTTAACAGCTATTACATGCAACTTAAATAGTTCATATTCCCAGGCGCATCATTGATGATCTATTTGCTTCGATCTTATACAACAATATATTGCATGGTTCCCTATAAAAGAAAAGCATATTTTTTACTATGTCTCTTCTAACATGTGCAGTCATGGGTGGTTCAACACTGCTCTCATGCTGGAAGGTAAAACATACTTACCTTGGCTGATGGATTGGTGAGTGATTTGTTTTTAATCTCTTGAAATAAGTTATTTTCCTTGTTGTATCAGCATTGTATTTGAACAACAGAGTTGAAGTCAGTAAAGCACTTGCTTACAACTACATTTCTTACGTAATAAAAAAGAAGAAGGGAAGCGTCTTATAGCTTGTTACATAAATGTTATATTACATTTAGTTTGTAACATCCCCCCCATGGCTGAATCTACTCTTATCATATCTTACATGTTCAACACATGGTCTCAGTTTAGCTGTTCTGTCCTTTTCTTGGTTTATTGTTTTCTAAATTCTGTGTTAATCATTTGTAGTGGTTAATTGTATATACTAAACAAAACATAATTACACAATGCAAAGTAAAAAGTAGTGATCTGTCTAGTGATCACTAACTAAAGGCCTATTTTATTATGCAGTGTGCTGGCTGGGAAATAAGGAAAGTTTATACAGCTGCTGAGTTTCAATGACATGGGCATTAAAAAAAAATGTAAGACCTGACACTGAATTGTGCACAACACACATTTACTTTTATACTGTGTAATGAATTGTAAATGAGTAATATCATTATCCAGGATAGCTGGTTCTAATCTTGATTATTTTCAGTTGATCAGGAGTCCAAAAGTATTTTTTTTTAGCTGTTCTTAATTGACATCTAGTTTCTGTTATTCTTAGGTTGCAAAAAAGGGGAGTGACATTTTACCAAAGAAAAATAGAGTCCTTTAAGGAGGTTAGTGAAAGCTTTCAATATTAATGATACATACATTTTCTGTTTGATACTATTATGTTTCATTTATAGTACTTTTTTATACTGAGTCTGTAATATTGTAACAGCCCGAATATTGTTTCACTTCTTACAGAAATACTGTGAGTATGTTAACACTTCTCTTTTTCATGCTTTATGCTCTGTTCTTTTCATTAAGCTGGCAGAGTCTGGGGCAGACGTGATAATAAACTGCAGTGGGATGAGATCAGGAGACCTCCAGCCGGACCCTGAGCTCAAACCCGGGCGGGGGCAGATCGTAAAGGTGAGGGCCGACGGGTTCAAATGGCTGTTTATACAACCAGCTATAAAAGCAACATTGAAGTTGTGGTTGAACCTTGATATTATATCTTTGTTTTTCAGGTCGAAGCGCCGTGGCTGAAGCATTGGATTATCACCCACAATTTAAAAAAAGGAGTCTACAATTCACCATACATCATTCCAGGGTGACACAAAACACTCATTAGCACTGAACTGTAGGAACAAGCCTCTCCATTAGTGTTTGAGTAATAGTAATGTGGAACTACAGTTTCATACAGAAAATGCATGCAGCAGGCAAACGTTTGCAGGGCTTATCCTGTGTTGTGTACTTGCTGTTTTTATCAGATCATACAAGATTACAGTGTTTTTGTATATTAAAGACAGTTGCATCTCTGTGTCTGCAGGAGTCGACTCGTGACAGTCGGTGGGATTCTCCAGTTAGGGAACTGGAGTGAAAAGAACAATTCTACGGACCATAAGTACATCTGGGAAGGCGCTTGTCAGCTCGAGCCAAGTCTCAAGGTAAGGTGATATCAAAATGTTGTTTGTCTAAAGCCCATCAAAAGGCTTTCTGTGTCAACTGTAATAAATGATTAACAGTAAGTCTTCAGTAGTGGTAAAGTATTTAACATTTGATATATTTAGAACACTTGATAGTGACAATGGACAATTCGTTTTTTGAGATTATGTGTTGTTGTTGTTACTTACCTCAGCATGCCAGGATAGTGCAGGACTGGGCCGGCCTCAGGCCTGTTCGCAGCAAAGTCCGATTGGAGAGGGAGACTATACAGTCCGGTGCAGCTGCAATAGAGGTAAACAGCTCAGTTGTATTTTGAAAAGATTTACATTATTTTTCATATTAATTTTTGTTCATCCAACTTCTAAAATATCGTGCCTCTCTTTCAGGTGATACACAACTACGGACATGGAGGTTTTGGACTCACCATTCACCGGGGCTGCGCCCAAGAGGCAGCGAGGCTCTTCGGTCAGATTGTGGAACAAAAAGGGAAAGGTCCAAAAGCTCGCTTGTAAATGTATGTGCAGGTGCTTGATTGATTGATTGATTGATTGATTGATTGATTGATTGATCGATTGATTGAGGTGCACTTCCAATTTTAATGTCAGTTCCTTGTGCCTCATAATCCAAAAACTGTTATTTTCTATAACCAGCATTTTAGCAAACAGATTTTCAATTTCCATACCTTTTGGGTATTTAAATACAACTCATTTTTGTAACTTGTATGTAACTCTAAAGAGTAGATGCCAATTAAATGATTCACATCTAATCATAGATAAATCCATAGATGGATATGTTCATTTAAAGAAGTATATAGTGTAAAAAGAAATTCTAAAATGTTTTCATTAAATGTAATGTAGAAAAATGTCTAACTGATAAAATCACTTTTTATTAATAAATGACAACATGAATACACTGCTCTTTTGGAAAGATTATTTACTATAGTATCATACACATTTACATCCAGTGCATCGACAAGAATCTGTGCACACAGACACTTAATACAGCACTATATCTCCAACAGGTAAAGAGTCAGCTGGCTGGGCCTGTACTAGTTCCTGTAACCTTTTTTTTCCACAAATCTTTGCACAGTGTGTCACTCTGACAAGTCAGTCTCCACATCACCTTTGTTACAAACAAAAGCAAAGACAACAACTAAAACAGGTATTGATACATATACATTATTTACAGAAAGACAGAATGTAACACCCTGTTAATGGATGTGTACATACATACATGTGTAGGTCTATGTGTGCAAAGCCTCGAGTCGAGTAGAGCAAGAGACGCTGCATTTATAGATCAGGACACCATATATTCATGTTCATGGCATTTTTTAAATTGTGTTACTTTGAGCGATGAAAATACTTTTTAGATTTACTTCAACATTAACTTACAATTGTCTTCAGATGCAGGCCAGGATCTGTGGACTTGTTCCAGTTGTGTTATATTTATGAAATATCGTTCACTGTATGATGTCACTGATGTAAATATGCTATGGTGAAGGCTTTGGCAGATTTATTAGGTTGTTGATTCTAATATGGCCTCATAATGATACTTGTTTCTTCAGCTGACAACAAACATCATCCATGTTAAAATGTGAAATAATACTGACACAAAATAAAGAACATATTTAGCACAAGGTTTAACACAGTGACTTACTGTGTGTCCTTTCACTACCTTTACACTATTTATTTTTGAATTAAGGTTCCCCAGACCTTATCTTATTGTCTGTTGATTTAATGATGTGGGACTGTACCTCACTTCAGTAATGTACATTTTATAAAGCTTGTGTTTTTTAACAGACAATTTTGTTCACAATATGCTGGTCTCTTTTATATATGCACCTGTGCCTGGTATGTTAAAAGAAGGTTAAGAGAAGGTCTCTCAAACTCAAATAGATATTCTTCAAGGCTCTTTCAAAAGAAGATGGTTGATGGAAGCTATCACTTTTTTGTCCTTTATTCACCTTTACTTCTCTTGAATTAAAAAAGCAATACTTTATGTAAAGTATTTGAATTCTCTCATGAATTGTTCAAATGTTGTCCACCTTTTATTTTCCTCAATCTTGCCCTGGTGTAGGTCATTTGTTCCATCCAGTAGCCCCTTGTGCGGTTATTCAGTGGCAAAATTGTGACAGCAATGGTAGTTGAAGACTATATAATAAAACATATTTCCTTGTGCTGCCTGGCCCTTTGAAGCCACCGTAGTGCCTAAACTGAAGAGTCATAACATGGGACTGGAGATGGACACCGAAAGCTGGTTGAGCTTTTCTTGGCCTCTCCTCGCCTCTTTTCCTCACTGTGCTTGCCTCTCCCAGTTGTGCTCCAGCAAACAAGTCCTCATCCTTGGGAGCCTGAGCTTGAAGGAGGGTGTTCCCCTGAGCTTTGGGAGGGGGCCCGGCCGACCATCTCCCGGCCCACCATCTCCTGGCCCACCATCTCCTGGCCCCACTCGCGGTGAGTGGACTCCTGTAAGCCGCGGCCTGTGGTCTCTATTGGCAGTGCACAGGAGGCGATGGCGGCGAGCAGGCAGCAGCAGCAGTACACGGACAGAGCCAGGTACACAGAAGACTCCAACATTACCTGAAGGATGAAGCCCAGGGACATGAGCAACTTTCATGTGTTGTGATGTGTTTAAATAAGTTCAAAAAATACTGGTACCTGTGCAACAAAAGGTGTAATGAGGGCACCGACTCTGGCCATTCCACTGCTCATTCCCAGACCTAAAGCCCTGGTCGCTGTTGGGTACACCTGCAGAGTTTCAGAAAAGACTAATTAGGCTGCCCTGATGCTCCATCGACCCCGTTATTGATTTGATCTGAGCTCCATTAGTAAATATTTTCATTTTGCACAATGCAAGCTAAAGAAACTGCACTCTGGTGAGATATCTTACCTCTGGAGTGTACACATATGCAGCTTGAAATCCTCCTGCGATGAAAGCTCTGGCGATGAATATCAAAACTGTCATGGATGTTCTGCAACACAGGAACCAGTAATGCTGAATAAATGGTGGATCCACAATGTTTTCGTCTAACATTCTCCTCAGTATCCTGCTTACCTCCCAACACAGCCATAGAGTGGAATGATGCACATAGAGAAGACGAAGAAACACAACGCCATGGTCTTCCTCCTTCCTAATCGATCGATAGCCCACAGTGTCACTAGAAGTCCTGTGGGACATTGCAAGATGTCAGGTGTGAAAAATATAATATGCTATGCATATTTTACAGTGTAGTAATTACAGAGATTATGCTGTTACCCATTACTGTGACATTTTGAAATGTCATTGCAGGAGTAACAGAGGAGAAACTTCAAATGTTAATGAGTGCTCCTTTTGATCTAGATAAGTCAGTAGTTTTGTCAGGGAGCTGCCATGCCAGGGCCTCTGGCAAACCTACATTATTAACACCTTGCAAAAGTGTCCTCTTTAAAATAAGCTCTATTAACATTATTTTGATATGATCATTTACTAAGTCCCTGAAATCCCCTGAAGTCATTTAGTTACAGGTGTAATAACTACATTAAAATTATGATCTTTATAATAACAAGATATCATGTAACTATAGGTGCAGCAACTACATCATTTACTAGATAATCATCCAGTATACATACAATACACTGTATAGTTATTGGTGTAGATGATGTTTAGGATTATATAATAGATTTAAATCTAAAACATGCCACCATAATTAACAACAAATATTTTGACAATATAAAAATTATAATGAACTTTGTGAAGACAGAAAATAAACTGATGTTTACCTGGGAATTCAGATAAGGTCGTCCACAACAGGTCTTTGTAGTCGTCAGAGTTCAGATATTTACACTCCAAGTTGCATCCGAGCTCCCTCTTGTTACGTTTGGTCACTAGATGGAGGTATAAAACAACAGAAAATAATATAGTACACACCCAGCACTGTCTCAATCTGTGACTTTGCAAAAAGAACATACTGTATTATGTGTAGACTTTCACTATGGCAGACATTTTGGAATATCAGTAAAGCACCATTGTAACTACTAAAATCAACAATGGGTCTGTTCCATTACGTGTCAGCCATCTTTAATGTTATCCGTTACACCTGAACCAACAATGAAAAAACATACGTTCTCAGAATATTAGAGAAACATAGTTAATGAAACGCCCTAAAGTCAAATGAAAATAACAATTAATTAATAATAATAATTTATAATTGTTATTTAATTAAAGAGTTTAAATTGTTTTTGTATCATATTGTTGTAAATATAGAATTTTGTCTCATTACATTGTTTATTACATTTTCCCCAATTATTTTAGAAATATGTATGTATCTACTTGTTTATGCCAGACATGAGGTATTGTTTAATTTGTGTGTGTGTGTGTGTGTGTGTGTGTGTGTGTGTGTGTGTTTGTGTGTGTGTGTGTGTGTGTGTGTGTGTGTGTGTGTGTGTGTGTGTGTGTGTGTGTGTGTGTGTGTGTGTGTCTGTGTGGTGTGTGTGTGTGTGTGTGTGTGTGTGTGTGTGTTGTGTGTGTGTGTGTGAGAGAGAGTGGGTGTTGAATGACTCACTTCCGCATGCACCTCCCTCCTGAAACAGCTCTGTAGTGAGCAGCACCAGCCCGTAGTAAGAAAAGGCGTTCGCAAACCTAAGGAGACAGAGACACAGGATGAAGGTGGTTTATATGTCACACTAATATATCTGTGCAATTGGAGAACATTAAGGTTTCGCAGAGGAAGAAAGGAAAGAAAATCATTGAGTAATGACTTATGAGTGGGTGGCATTTTCATTCACTCTATTTACCAAATGAACCACAGCAGAATTGTGGTCCAGCGAAAGTGTGGTGAAAAAAGGTCTTGAATCTTTCCACGTTCCTCCTAATTAAAAGAACAGAATATAATAGTAAGCATACATGAATATTATCCAGATAAATGTTCTGCAGAAACCGGCTTTCACCTGTCTTGCAGCGATGAGTTTCCCCAGGGGCATCGGTACTCCGTTCTCGGCAGCGATGCGCTTCAATGTGGACAGGGCTTTTTCATGATTCCCCGTCAACATGTCGTATCGAGCACTCTCAGGTAGCCACTGATCACACAACACCGATAAGCAGACATGTCAGTTAATAAGGCTGTAACTTGTTCATCTTACATATTGCAGAATGTCTCAGGACAAGATAACAGCATACTCACACAACACAAGATGGAAAAGAGGAAGAGAGGAAGGGTTGAAAGTCCGAGCAGCCAACGCCAGCCCAGAGTGGGCATCACCAGGATGGCTAAGAGCACCTCAAACACAGTGCCCAGGGCCCAAAATATCTGCAAGGCACAGTCAGAATTATATAAAACCCCTCCAGTGCTGTGAAGTAATGGTTGAACATGTTGTCCTTTATGTACCATTAACATATGGCTTGTCGGTGATAGATAGATAGATAGATAGATAGATAGATAGATAGATAGATAGATAGATAGATAGATAGATAGATAGATAGATAGATAGATAGATAGATAGATAGATAGATAGATAGATAGATAGATAGATAGATAGATAGATAGATAGATAGATAGATAGATAGATAGATAGATAGATAGATAGATAGATAGATAGATAGATAGATAGATGGATAGATAGATAGATAGATAGATAGATAGATAGATAGATAGATAGATAGATACATAGATGGATAGATAGATAGATAGATAGATAGATAGATAGATAGATAGATAGATAGATAGATAGATAGATAGATAGATAGATAGATAGATAGATAGATAGATAGATAGATACATAGATGGATAGATAGATAGATAGATAGATAGATAGATAGATAGATAGATAGATAGATAGATAGATAGATAGATAGATAGATAGATAGATAGATAGATATATAGATAGATAGATAGATAGATAGATAGATAGATAGATAGATAGATAGATAGATACATAGATACAGATAGATACATAGATACATAGATGGATATATAGATAGATAGATAGATAGATAGATAGATAGATAGATAGATAGATAGATAGATAGATAGATAGATAGATAGATAGATAGATAGATAGATAGATAGATAGATAGATAGATAGATAGATACATAGATAGATAGATAGATAGATACATAGATGGATATATAGATAGATAGATAGATAGATAGATAGATAGATAGATAGATAGATAGATAGATAGATAGATAGATAGATAGATAGATAGATAGATAGATAGATAGATAGATAGATAGATAGATAGATACATACATAGATACATAGATAGATACATAGATAGATACATAGATACAGATAGATAGATAGATAGATACATAGATACATAGATGGATACATAGATAGATACAGATAGATACATAGATAGATACATAGATAGATACAGATAGATACATAGATAGATACTGTACATAGATACATAGATAGATGCATAGATACATAGATAGATAGATACATAGATACATAGATACATAGATACAGATAGATACGTAGATAGATCCATATATAGCTACATAGACTGGATTCCTTAACAGACAGTTGCTTAATTAAGTTTAGTCCTCAAGAGTCCTCTTACCTCAATCAGCAAGATGCATGTGGCTCTGGACCTCATTGGCAGAAACTCAGCATACAGTGTCACCCTTATAAGGAGGGAGATTTCACAGTCAACCTAAACTCACATCATTTATAATTCAGCGATATGTTTAGGGAGATGAATGAGGGTTACTAACGACTGTGGGGCTCCTCCGATGCCAAAGCCCACGAGTGCACGGAGGACGAGGATCCAGCCATAGACTGGTGCAAATGCACTCAGTACGCCATAGAACATGGTCCACAGCACACTCAGCGTCAGACCCTGTGTGTGCATACAATCAAAACATAACAAGCTGCTGAATAAATTCGGCGGTCAGTGTGTATGATCACTTTCTTTGATTCAGAGAATCCAAATGATAAACTTCCTATGAACTACATGAAGTTTGTCTCACAGGAAACAGAAATAAATGAATCTCCGTCAAAGATTTCATGAGAACTTACTGTTTTTCTGCCGTATTTGTCAGATATGTTTCCCCAAAGACAGGAGCTGAGCATCATCCCAATAAACACTGCCTGCATCAAGAAGAGGATAAGGTTTAATGGGACTGCAGTTTCATAAACGTGCATTGACTATAATTCCACTACATATAGCTGATATAATGCACATCCTGTCAGACAGTACTGTAGCTTTTTATGTTCTGGTGTGAGCAACAACAAGTCATTTAATGTGTTTCTTGCTTGATTATCTTATGAAAGTTGTATAATACATCTCAATTGATGAGGTCATTACCAAATGTGAACCATTAAAAGATTATTTATGCAATACCCTTAGTAAAATCTACTGTAATTTCTCTGTTCGCTCAATGTAATACTTAGAAAAGTGAATATGCTTTTGATGGTCATTCAAATCATAATTGTGCATGTCATCTAATGACATCACACTTCCTACTTTTTCACAAGGTTGTCACTGTTCAATACAAGCACTTAAGCAATCCCTAAGCACTTAGCCAATAACTATCAGGACAGTCATAGCATCGCAAGCAAGAGCACTTTACAAACATTAGAGCCATTACCGATGTAAGAAGTGCCACCTGGAGGCTGGGCAGCTTCCATTCACAGTGGAGCTGAGGGGCTAAGATGCAGAGGATCATCATCTCCATGGCATCGGCCATCTGAGCAAACAGCAGACAACACAGAGACACATAAGATTTATTAAAATACACACACAGCAAGTGACCGTGTATTTTCAAAGAGCGGCTCTTACCCAGGCCAGACCAGTGAGGATGGAGAGCTTCCATTGAAAGGTCCCAAAGCCGATGGCCTCTACGGCATCCTCCACCATGAATGTGTCTGGGGGAATGAAGAAGTATTTAAAGCGGTATTCAATAAATCAGCATAAACATTCTCCTCTGTCAGAACCTGAAGCTGTACACGTGAGTGTGAGAGCATTGGACGATGATATGTAATAATGTGGTATCTTGGAAACATCGTTAGGTCTGTGACATCACACGTCTGAATGATCAAACAATTTGTATTCTCTGCATTCTTCTGATGATGGTGTTCATGTAACATTGGAAACAGATCTAAAAAGTAATTCTTGTCTTAAATCACGTTCCTTTGGGAGTATGAGTTTGTACAGGCAAGAAAAATGACATCTGATCCGACCCATATCCTCCATCCAGGCTTCCAGCTCTTACCTTATGGTAGGAGATTTAGGGTTCCTACAAGAAGGCTAAACCTATACAAACAGTCATTCCTACCAATTTCCATTCAGCTTTTCAACAAACAATTGTAATGTATAGTTTAAATGTCGGCCATGGAATTTGTGCAAAAGGGCGTCAGTGTCAGTCTGTTGTCTGTGTATGTATGTGCAAACTTGTATCGTATATTGAAGTCATACTGTACCATCAGTTGGATTGGCAAACTCCCGAGGAACCGGAGCTCCGTCTGTAAGAGCCACAGACTCCAGATCAGTCTGCTCGGCGATCCTGATAAACTGTTCTCTGTTCTCTCCATCATCCTCTGAGCGTATGCTCTCACCTGTACGACGGAAGCGGACAACACTACAAAAAGAAAGTAAAAGCATAGGATATTTAACATCTCTACAATATGCCTGATCAGGGGAGTTTCAGAAGTCGAGTGCCAGGGCAAAGCTGAGTGCAGATGAGGCTGTTGCCTAGGTGATATGAGGTTTTTCTGGCTGTGATTTTGTGAATGGGTGGTAATATCATCCTATTGGGGAACCATGTCAGGCCAACTGAGAGCTCTGTGCACTTTTCTGCTCAGCACTGAGATGTGCATGCTGTTTACAGCTATAATCTTCTTCAGCATGCAGATAATTGATGGTTCATTAAGGATGAAACACTATACTAGAACTGTGATAGTGGCAGTGAGGTCCTAATCACTGTAATTACATGACATAGACTACTGGAAATGGGGAGTCACTGATGCAGATGACTTTGTGAGATGTCCAGAAATGTCTGTCTTGTATATTTTAAACCGCTATAATTTTCATTTTCAAGTTCTTTATGATGAAATACAAGTGATATCCAACTCCCTGGAAATATATATTTTCTTTCTTTTGTTGTGCTTATTCCAAATCCATAATTGTAATTGTTTGATTAACAAACAAGTACATTAAACGATTCGCATTTTAATTATTTTATGTTATTTGTGTGGAAAGACATCGTTATTTGACTGTACGTCTATTGTCCCTCATGACGGCCAGCCTTTAGCTAAATGTAAAAGGCTCCAGCAGAGAAATAAATCACAATAGGCACTGAGTCATGACAGTAAACACAATTACTTAATTAATTAAGTTCACACCAAAAACTTAGCTTAGAAATCACAGCAAAACTGCTTAGTATTAATAAACAAAAACAAAATAGTCTTCTTAAGCGATATGCGAAACAAACTGCTAGCTGCATGTGAAGTTGTTTTAATTTATTTGTTGTGAATTTCTATTATAACTGCACAAATATTGTAAATGAATGACTGCTGCTTTTAAGGAATGTGAGGCTATTTGTGGTCCAGCGAGCTAATCAGACGACGCGAGGCTGTCAGAGGGCGACGCGTCCGCCAAACATGCTGTCACGGTGGGAAATAGAGTGAATAAAAAACAAACAAAGGCACCAATGTTTTTCAGATGGAAGTATTACTCACGGCAGCTGTCTCAGTTGGAACAGATCATCGTCCATTTTGATGTTTACTGGCTGACGGGCTCATCGCCGTTTACATTATCACGACGAGCTGCGAATGATTTCAGCACCGAGGAGAGCTACCTGCTCAGCGAGCCCGCCTCAGCCAATGGGAGGCCGCCTTGCGCGACTCACCGCGAGACACAGGAAGGGGGGGAGTGGATAGGATGATGAGCCCAGGGGGATCTGACACTTTCTTATGTATTTATTCAAGAACATATATTAACATCATATATTTTTTATATAAAGAAGTGCACATCAGGGATAGACGTATAAAGTAGCGTCATACAAAAAAATACATAAAGTCAATCAATAAAAAGCCATAACAAAATGTGCCTAAAATGTCAGAATCAGAATCACATTTTTTGCCAGGTAGCCTACGTTTACAAATACAAGGAATTTGCTTTGGTTTTTGGTGGTGCAAATATAAACGACATAAGAAAATACGGTTTAAAAGGTCAAAAATATAACGATTATAACAAGTAAATATATATTTTTTAAAACCGTAACATTACAAATGAATAAAGACAAATATTTACACCAAATTTAAATATAAAAAATAACCTAAAAACACAAAGAAAATTCCTTGTATATGTAAACTTTTTGACTCCTACTTTTTTGACTCCTACTTTTTGTCGTAGCCTTATTTTATTATGGCTATAAATACATGTATTGTTTACTTTTCCACATCTACCATTCATATATTGCTCCTCCTGTTCTGGACCTTGTACTTTCCCATTATGTATTGTTTAATATGTCTATTGTATGTTTCTTGTAATGTAAAACCTACTCTGTACTTTAGACAATAACTGAAGTTTATAGGCCATGTACATGTTTTGTTTTTCGGAAAGTGCATTAAAACAAAGATAATTCATAGTGCTTGATACACGCATTTTAATTGCATTAAAACAATTGGAACACAAATTACAATTCAATAAAATAAAAAATGAAATAGTTCAAAGTAAAGATCCCAGAGATAGAGCAAATGATACAGAGAAAACAAATAAAATACCAACAGGCTAGACAAAAAAGCAAAGACATTAATGTGAAGGCAGAATTGGGAATTATGGTGGAACCTACGCAACCGTGATTTAAAAAATATATATATTTATTACAGCAGTCATTTAAAAATAAGTATATTCTCCGGATGTTGTTATGAACTTCTGTTGTTGTTTATTTTCAAACATTTCGAACAACTTCAGAAATATATTGCCAGCCGTTCCTTGAGAGAGAGAGTACATCTAAAGAATAAACCGTGTCATGAAACAATCCACCTCAGCATCTCGGTACGCTTCTTCAGCGGTGAGTTACTCTAATGATTTCACAAATGTGCGCAACACCATTTTGCTGGTCGGACTGTTAACTGTGAACACATTGGTGCTCTCTCCCATTATGTCCGTCCTGAAACCAGAAACTGGAGTTCCGCCATGAAAGCAGCAGGATGTTGTGGTGCAGACCTGAAAGCTCTGATAAGCTTGTGAAGGAGTTTCTTGGCTCTGGACAAATCGTCAGGTAAAAGCTCTCCTCTGGCAGAAACATCGCATACAGATTATTTATAGTGCAAGGGGTCAGGAGTTGAGCAGGTCATGACGCGTTCGACCTAAAGTGAAACATGCGCACACACTGAGTCCGGGTTAAGTTGCTAAACCTGCTAACGAGAAACACAGCAATGAGTGTCACTTATATTTCTAGATAGTAGCTTTGGGTCTGTATCAAAGGAGGCAACAGAGCAGCCGAGGGCACACTATTAACCTCGATGTTGTTGGTAAGTTAGCCTAAAGCTAGCTCTGCTGCTGCTGCATGCTAATGGTGGTGTTAGCTGCTTCGTAGTGGTAGTTATACACGCAGAGGTGTAAAGTAAACAAATACATTTACTCAAGTACTCTACTTAGAGGTGTGAAGAAACTGAAGTGGAAGACGTACTCGGATATTGTACTTGAGTAAGTACCAGAGTGTAGGAAATGAATACTCTGTTGAAAGTAAAAGTCCTGTATTCAACATTTGACTCAAGTAAAAGTACACAACTATTGTCATCAACATTTTTGTAGTACTTATTACTTATTATGCAAATTGGTCCATTTCAGAATGATTTATATGATATTTTTTTATTATAAATATTGATTACATTACATTACATTGCATTTAGCTGACGCTTTTATCCAAAGCGACTTACAATAAGTGCATTCGACCAAGAAGATACAAACTAGAAGAAAACAGAATCATATAAGTACATCAGGTTTCATAGAGCCAAAACATTTCAAGTGCTACTCAACTGGCTTTAGATAAGCTAGTCCTTTATTAGTATATAAGTGCTTTGTTAGTAATTTTATTGCTGGAAGTGGAGTCGAAAGAGATGAGTTTTTAGTCTGCGCCGGAAGATGTGTAAGCTTTCTGCTGTCCTGATGTCAATGGGGAGCTCATTCCACCATTTTGGATTCTGATGGTTCACCGTGTCGAATGCAGCAGACAGGTCCAAAAGGATGATGACAGAGGAGAGGGAGGCTGCTTTAGCCGTGTGCAGTTCCTCAGAGACAGCGAGGAGGGCAGTTTCTGTTGAGTGACCTGCCTTGAAACCAGACTGGTGCGGATCAAGAATGTTGTTCTGACGGAGATAACAGGAGAGTTGTTTAAAGACAGCGCGTTCAAGTGTTTTAGACAGGAACGGGAGGAGAGAGACAGGCCTGTAGTTTATAACATCGAACGGGTTGAGAGTGGGTTTCTTTAGGAGAGGGTTTACTCTTGCCTCCTTGAGACTGTTTGGAAAGTGACCAGAAGTTAGAGAAGTGTTGATGAAATGGGTGAGAAACGGTAGAATATCAGGAGCGATAGTCTGAAGGAGGTTTGAGGGGATAGGGTCCAGAGGACAGGTGGTAGGACGGGCAGAGGTAATGAGGGTAAGAACCTCACTTTGAGAGAGAGGGGAAAAGGAGGTTAGTGTGTGGGTGAACGGTGGGTCAGGTGACCCAGCGGTGAGTAAAGGTGAGTCAGAAAGAGAAGAGCGAATATCATCAACCTTTTTTTCAAAGTAGTTAACGAAGTCGCTTGGAATAAGGGAGGAAGGGGAAGGGGGTCAAGGAGGGTGGAGAAGATAGAAAATAGTTTTTTGGAATAGGAAGAATGGATCTTATCTTGAAAGAAAGTGCTTTTTGCCTGAGAGATCGAAGAAGAGAAAGAGGAGAGGAGGGACTGATAGGTTAGGAGGTTGTCAGGGTGTTTGGATTTCCACCATTTCCGCTCAGCTGCCCTAAGGATGGTTCTATTAGCACGCAGTGCGTCATTTAGCCAGGGAGCAGGAGGGGACTGACGAGCCTGCCGAGATGTGAGAGGACAGAGAGAGTCCAGTGCGGATGAAAGAGTAGAGTAGAGAGGAGAGTTTCTGCAGCAGAGTTTGGAGGCAGAAGTTGGAACGAGTCAGAGGAAGGGAGGGCTGAGAGCACCGATGAGGTAAGAGTAGAGGGGGAGAGGGAACGAAGGTTATGGCGGACAGGTGCAGAGTTAGAAGAGATTAGTTTGTTATGTTTGGAAAGGGGTAGAGAGAATGATATGAAAAAGTGATCCGAGGTGTGGAGCGGGTTTACAGAGAGGTTAGAAGTAGTGCAGTTCCTTGAGAACATGAGATCAAGGACATTGCCAGCTTGATGAGTTGGTGGGGATGGAGACAGTGAGAAAGCAAAGGCAGTTAAAAGAGATGTTGGTTCACATCTCTTCCCTGTCTGGAGGTTGAAGTCTCCGAGAAGTACAGTGGGAGGGCCAGTTTCAGGGATGTGTGAGAGGAGATTATCTAATTCCTCCAAGAAGTCCCCCAAGGCGCCTTTGATGCATTAAAGTGTTATCAAAGCTGGTAAAGGTGCAGCTAGTTTGAATTCAGGTGAAACTAAAGTCTTATTTATTACCTTAACCTTTTAGTGAACTGAACTATTTAATCAACACACATATTCTGATTTGTCAGTTTGTTAGGTACACTCGGCTGTATCTAAAACAGTTTAATGAATAAGTCCTGAAACATGGGATAGTGGTGGTCTAATGGATAGTGAGGTGGGCTGAAGATCGGAAGGTTGTGAGTTCAAATCCCGCCAGGAACACCACCACTAGTGTGCCCTTGAGTAGGGCACTTAGTCCTTAGTTACTCCAGGGAGAATGTCCCTGTAATTGGTCATTGTAAGTCGCTTTGGATAAAAGCGTCAGCTAAATGTAATGTAATGTAAAAACAAATTCTGATAAAATGTGAATTGTTTTGTGGATACAGTTTTAGACAGTTGACATAAATGTATGATCTTTTTGGAGATGCAGGTGTTGGGCACTGGAAAAACACATCAGTGTCATTATTGCATTGTAATCGAGAACAGTGATGTATGAAAGTGTATATTTACCTGCTACCATCCCGCCTTACTTATTGTTATCACCTGTTGTGTATATCCCCTTCATTCCAAATCATCCATTGTGCGTCATTAACATAATGTTTTCTTTTCAGAAACAAAATGATAAAGAACTGGGGTGTCATCGGGGGGGTAGCTGCTGCGGTTGCAGCTGGAGTCTATGTGTTGTGGGGCCCAATTACAGATAGAAGGAAGAGAAAGAGAGGTAAGAGTCAGAGGGAACGTGTCATACACAGATTATATGCAGAGAACCGGTTGAAGATCAGGAACTTACAACGACCTGTGTTTTCCCTCAGGTATGGTTCCTGGTTTGTTGAACTTAGGCAACACCTGCTTCCTGAACTCTTTGCTTCAGGGTTTGGCAGCATGTCCGTCTTTCATCCGGTGGCTGGAGACGGTAATAGGATTGCCTCCAACCCAGTCCTGCAAAGACAATCAGCTGTCCACGACACTGCTCCAGCTACTCAATGGTATATAACACCAGCCTATGGTTTAACAAGTGTGGTATTTATCCAATGTGGACAAAGAATCCAACCATTCAGCTGTCTTTGTCATATTTTATTTCTTGTGAGATAGTTCAGTCAGAAAGCAAACTGTCTGCAGAGTGAAAGACGCAGAATAGAGTTTGCGTTTAAACACAGAGAAAGAAGAAAGGGGGGATCAAGCTTGGTGATAATGAAAGGAGCATTCTAGCAGTAAGGGAGGCAGTAGCAGGAAGCTATAGGTCAAACTGTTACATGGAGTGTAACAAATAACATTGTAAGAATCTTCTTCAAAAGGACAATTCTCTAGCTAAGCAAAGACATTCAAGCCAGTAAAGAGATACACATTAGCAAGTAAGAATCATAATATTAAAGTCATTGTATAGTTTTCTCTGTTACACAAGTCACCAGAGCGTAGTAAACATGCGGTGTTCATTCATATTTCTAATGAGGATGGTAATGGTGACTGCTCTGACAGGTCTGTCCAGAGACGAGCCGGGGGAGGAAGATGTTCTCGATGCCGGGTGCCTCCTGGATGTTCTCCGACTGTACCGGTGGCACATCAGTTCCTTTGAAGAGCAGGTTAGTCAATAATGTTTTTAGGTGGTGTTTCCTTTGATATTTTCATACATGATGTTTGTTGCATTGTTTCATGTATTAACCGTTTTCTGTCTGTGTTTGTTTGTCCTCTCTCAGGATGCACACGAGCTCTTTCATGTTCTTACGTCTTCTCTGGATGAGGAGCGAGATCGTCAGCCGAAAATCGTTCCCTTGTTTGACATGCAGTCCCTCGAGGCAAGTTTTCATGTCCCCACTCTCATTATCTTAAAACAGCACACACATGCTCTGCAGAAGCTGCTCTGAACCTAATATACTGTATAACCATAGACTGATTTAAACAGTCTGATGCTCTCAGCCAGTGGGCCTCAGAGCGCCATCTAGTGGCCGTGGAGGTTAGGGAAATTGTAACGTCGTTGAATCAAAAATCAATTTTTAATGTGCTGAAGAGAACACAAATAAATAAAAAAACATGAAATAAAGTCACCATGCCAAAACACATTATCAGTTCAAGGCAATCGATCAGTTTTATGAAACAAAAAATTGATTTTGTAGACCAGACAGCGCCAGTAAAACTCCAAAGGAAATGTGAACCTTAAGAGATTACATTTGGATTCCTAATGGCTGCCAGTGATGGGTGAGGGTTAGCAGAATATTGATTTTGGTCATTAACACTGATGGTGGCAAAAGGCCTATTTACAGCCCAGTTTGTTTGATCTCCTTTTTTGTTTAATTACTTATTTTCTCAATTGTTTAGGAAGGTTGCCTTCAGTTATAAAAGGTTGAGAATCAGTTTGCACTTTGGAGCATCGGTTGTATGGAGGGAAGCACCGTTTCAAACCAAATTCTGCCTCCTACACCCTTATAAAAGTGAAATGTTAGTATGTGAACTGCAGCAGTGTTGTAGGACTGTCAAAAATAACAATGTGGTTAATCAGTGTATGTGTTTGTTTAATACCAGAGCATTCCTGATCAAGATGAGAAAACTATGACCTGCAGAAGTCGAGGTAAAGAAACATGAAATGATATACAGTAGATGTGAGTATCAAACTGGAACTTATTTCATCTGTATTCCTTTTTCCTTTTTCAGCCCCTCTGCATCCGATACCAAGTCCTTGGAAGTCTCAGAATCCTTTTCATGGTTGTTTAACAAGCAATATGTCATGCAAGCGCTGCGAACAACAAGTAGGTGTTCCGTTTTTTTCGGACAGGAAAGGTTTGTTGTACTTTTTTTACAGGGATTTATTCCTCTCCTTTGCTTTTGGTTAGAGTCCGGTGCGGTACGACTCATTTGAGAGCCTTTCCCTGTCCATCCCTTTACCTCAGTGGGTAAGAAAGATTTTTAGGAACAAGTTAATACTAAAAGTTATTATGGTATCACAACTCAATACAGATTTTTGGTGTTCTGTTTGTCATCATTTGATCTGCCTGTGTCCTCAGGGTCGACCTGTCTCTCTAGATCAGTGTCTTCAACATTTTATCTCTTCGGAAACCATCAAAGAAGTGGATTGTGAAAACTGCACCAAGGTACACTCACTGCAGTATCTGTATTGCCTACTTCTGGTAGTCAACTTAAGAAACAAGAATAGAATCAAAGAGAGGCAACTCTTGTGAGAAACCTACAAATGTTTGTATTGTTCTTATTTTGTCTCATTTCCCCTCAGCTTCAACAAGGGACCTCAGTAAATGGCGAAGTTCTTGGAAGCCAGAGGACAACATTTGTTAAACAGCTTAAACTGGGAAAGGTGACTGTCATTTATATTAATATCACTATACAATTACCTGATTAATAATACACTGCGAAAGCTTGTTTGTGCCCAATTCAGTAGATCAAAACTTCCCTTTATTTCTTAGTGAAAGATGTTTGAAGATGTATTGTGTTTTCCCTTCTTCAATGCTTTCCTCCCTCTGCTAGCTCCCCCAATGCCTCTGCATCCATTTACAAAGACTGACGTGGTCCAACGAAGGCTCCCCCATCAAGAGACCGGAGCATGTGCAGTTTACAGAGTATCTCTCGATGGGCCGCTACAAACACAACGCTCACACACACAGAAGTCAGCGGATCAAATGTGCTCTGAACCCCAAAAAGGCAGAAAGTTCAGATGATTCCACGGAAAAGCTCTCTGCTAACGGCACCGGTGTGTTTCCTGAACTCTTTGATATCATTTGCTTCAGAATCCCTTTTTTTTTCTTTTGTCTTCATGCATTTTGTTTCTCTTTTGTCTTCCAGGAGCAGAGCATCCGGACAACAATAACAAACCTTTTTCCAACGGAACATTTCCCTCTGTGTTTCTTCAGTCTCCTGGTTTGAACCCACAGCACGGCTTCACAAATGACTTCAGGTAACCTCAATGTCAAGATGCAACCTTACAATGAATACAATGCATATCAAGCTATTCTGAGCTGTGGTGCTAATCAAAGCCCATCAGCCCAACATAATGTTTCTTATTTAAAACTAAACACAGGGAAGAAGTGTCACTTTCTATGCTTTTATATATCTGGAACAAACTCTAAGAAAATTGCAGGCCTGCTGCAACCCTTACTAACTTTAAGTCAAAAGTGAATATTTTTCTGTATCTGTACCTATTCTATTCTCTTGCTATTTTAATAACTGTGTTTAAATGTAACCTTATATTGTGCTTACTCTACACTAGGTCTTAATGCTTTAAATTGCCTTGTTGTTGAAATAGGCTTTCCAAATAAGGCGTTCAAGGCTTTTATTAGTCATACGTACATAGCTACAGTGTAGTTATGACGATGAAAATCTTAGGTCACAGGCTCCTCCAACAGTGCAACCCAATAAAACAGAAAAACAGAAACAAATATTGCAAGTAAATACAAAAAAGAAAATAGTAAAATAGTGCAATAAGAGTCTATATACAAGCTTTGCCTGTATAATGCATCGTTCTGTATATCTCAAAGGTTCAAAGGGCTTTATTGTCATTTGCACAGTAGCTACAGTGTAGATATGCAATGAAAAACTGTACACAGGCTTCTACAACAATGCAACATAAATATTAATAAAACAAATAAAAACACGATAAAAATAGTGCACATGCAGCGTTGGAGAGGGGCTCGAGACACGGCAGCCCTCCACGGCGCAGCATCCTAATATCTCTTCTGATTGTAGCGTCTCTCTTCCCAGTTCTACAGAGTACCTTTTCCAGCTCACGGCCGTGCTGGTGCACCACGGCGACATGCACTCGGGACACTTCGTGACGTACCGCCGCAGCCCCTGCTCAGCCCGCCCCTCCTCACCCTTCAGCTCCCAGTGGCTCTGGGTGTCCGACGACTCGGTTCGAAAGGCCACCCTGCAGGAGGTGCTGTCGTCCAACGCCTACATGCTCTTCTACGAGAGAGTCCGGAGGCTGGACCTCGCTCCGCGCTCGGAGGAGTAACACCGACTGCTGCCTGTCCATCAAACTGTCCCCGCTGTGTGTGGCCGTCAGGAGGGTTATGACTTTGTGACAATGAGACCAGGGAGGAACGCCATCCTGGGGGCCACCGTGGTGTTTCTCTTACATCATGGATCACAGCAACATGTTGGACATCGTTGAATGGTGTCTTCTGAATCAGGGTTAGAAAGGCTGGGGACTATTAAAATCTGCACATCCATTACATTTGAATTCTTTCTTCATCCAACATCATGACAGTTTGAAACTTCATGTGAAAAATGATAAAGCAAACGCTACAATAATGATTTTATTTCACAAGGTAAATATTCAAACTCACCAAAGGGAAAAACTGACATTAACCTTTTTTTTTTTTCCACATGAGGGTGAATGTTCAAACTCTACCAGCCATTCAATAGATTACCATTTCTACCAGATCTAGCAGCCACTGACTAACCATCAACCCCGGTTTGATATTAAATCTACGAGTGGACACTTTGCCTCCTTTAGAGCGGGATGCTCTCAATCCCAAAGATTATGGACCTGCAGGATTTTTTGTCAAATATCTTTGATTGTGCAAACTGCAATACTTTGACATGTGTTAAAGTTTCTGTCATGCAGCATTTTGGCTTCAGTGGCACAAAAAACTGGAACATTTGACAATATAGTGCACTCTAAAGTGACGGCCCTGCTAATCATTGTTCATGTGGAAAGCTTAGACTCTGGCATTTCTATGATGCTTTGTAATGTTCCTGTTATTGTGTCCACTGCCGTAGCTAAAGTAAGTATTCTTGGAGATATTATTTAGAATTTGTTGCATATTATGATGTCAATTAGGTATAACTTTCCCCAACTGTGGTTCTCATAAAAATGAATCAGCCTAATCATTGCTATCAGTGTATGTCAAACGATTGGAATTAATGTTTCTATGGACTTTTTTCACAAGAGGTTGTATTTGGTATTTTTCTATTTATCCAAGAGTCCTCACATTGTCATGATTTGCAGAGTTGAGGTCAAAGTGCCATGTTGTCTTTAATGGTCAATATGTTTATTGTTTAACACCTTAAGCCATGTGTGCTAAATATGATGTTAACACAATATAATGCATCAAAGCCATCTTGCTTGGTGTTGATGCTAAAAAGTGTATTAATCAGGTCTTTGGGCAAGTTATCCTGAATATTAATAATGATGTGAAGCTGCCGATTTGCTCCTACCAAACCAGTCAAATGGAGAAATGGCCTGGTTCAGAACCTCTTGTTAATGTTTGCAATTTGCACTGATGTATATTAACGTGAGAGTGTGTGTTTTTGCGTGCAATCTGTAAAGGTGATTGTTTTCAGGTATTAAAAAAAAAAAGAAACATCAATTTAGAGTTTTATTTTTTACATATTCAGAGATAATTATTAATATCATTGTCAGAGATTGTGTGCCAGCAGAGATGCTGAAGATCAGCACACACTTACTGACCTGTCCTTGACCCAAACACTATAAGACTTTCAAGTGTTACCAAATGTTTCAAACTAAATATTTTCTCTGTAGAAATGTACATTTCTCAAAAATAAATACAATGCATAATTTCAAGTGTTTTTCAGTGCCAAATGCTGACTGACAAAATAATCTTCTGATTGATCATTTACAGATAACTGCCAACATCTGCCAGGGATGGATCAGCAGGCACTTTCAAAACATTTTATCCAAATCTGAGTCCGAACAAAAGCATTCTCAGACAACACATCCACCATAATTAAAAAAAACTACTGTGGGCATCTTCTTTGGAACAGCACACAACGCACCTTTCAATACGTTTTTTTTAATTTGTAATAAGGAAAGTGTTCCATCGCTCTGGCAACGTTTCTATCTTTCTTTGGAGACATAGCCAGCTGCTTTACCATACAACTGGATGAAAATTACTGAAACGATTGCTTGAAATCAAGTCAGTCAGACGTTTGGGTCATTTTTAACATAAATAAGTTCACTGTAAAAAATATTCTGATTCTTAAGAGTCCAAGTAAACAGTCCTCACTTGTGCGGTCATTATAGTCTCTCAGATTCAGCTAAAAACCCATATTAGCTTAGTGTTATTTGTCCATGTGGCCAAGAACAGCATGTGACTTGTCCGTTCAGCCTTAATTGTCCCTTAGTCAGAAGGTTCTTGGACCAATGGCCAGGTTGTTAATCCCCCTACTGGTCATTTCTTTCTGTCAAGTGCGATGCGTCTAAATGTGAGGTTGATGCGAGGCAGGGAACTCTTCTTGCGGACAGGCAGGCTGTGGTACCAGAAAGTGTTGGTCGGGGAGTTCATGAGGAGGAGGCTCCCGTGAGCGAGCTCCAGCTTCACGGGTTCAATCTGCCTGAGGCTCTGTTTCCCCCGAGCATCTCTGTGTCGGAAGATAAAGTCTCGTGGCGCTCCCAGAGAGACGGAGGCGATGGGGCAGAGGGGGTCCAGCTCCTTCTCATCATCACGATGCTCGCCCATGTGATCCTGGCCATCTTTGTACCTGGAGGCGAGAAGAACACTTTTCAAGATTCAAGATTCAAAGGCTTTATTGTCATATGCACAGTAGCTACAGTGTAAATATGGAAATGAAAATATTATGTCCCAGGCTCCTCCAACAATGCAACGTAATATGACATAAACAATAAAACTGATTTTAAAAACAATACAAGAGTGCAAGATTGGAATTTGAAATTGATTGAGATTTTAGCAGGAAGACAAATATAAAACTTTTTTTCAGAAATGTCTCACCTGTTGACCAAGACGAAGTTGAACGCTTGTCCAGTTGTTTTAGTGACAGCATCCCGTATATATTCCAAGGTTGGAGTCCAAGAGTTGGCTAAACGTGTCACTCTTGAATAAGTGTAGGTGAGACCTGCATCTCCATATGTGGCCTGTTTTCTTGGTATATCGTACACCTTTCCAAACACCTGGACCTTAGCTTCTTCCCCTGGAACAAAAACGGCTCCAATCGTTCAACTGTACACTACAACTCGTCCTAATGTTACAGAAAAAGGTTTGATATTGTACCTGTTGAGTACACCCCCTCCTCCTCCAGCTGTTTAAAGAGGTTGTCTGCTTCTTCTTTGGAGAACAGCAGAGCATAATCACAGTCTAGTCCTTCTGCCTCTATTTTCTGCCAGGGAACAGGATGAGAAAACTCATCTTCCTCATCCTGCGTCATCCCCTCATCACTCTCCAGTTTGATCTTCTTCTGTGGACTTCTGGCTTCACTAATGAAGGAGCGTTTTTTCACAAACTTTTCCATTGCAGTCACCTGTTGTCTGGGGTTCTCAGTTTAAGGATTGTTAAGGACCTGGATGACGAAAGAAAATTGAACATTATCAATTGTGAGATTTATATAAAGAACTGTGAAACAAATCTTCAGTGTGGGTCTGCATCAAGTTTACTTCTCACCAATATTATGTTTCTGTAATTTTTTGCTTTATTATTAAGTATAATAATGCAACTCACAATTATTTTTAAAATTAAATAACCTGTTAGCTACTAATTCATATTAATGACTAGTTGTGCGAGAATAGTGAAAACTGTCCCTGAGCCCAAGGTTAAAACTGATCAAATAGTAAACACATGTAATTTACTATTATAAAAGACACTGAAGAAGCAGAAAAATCCTTACATTTCTGAACATGGAACCACATTAGTTTCGGCATTTTTCTTGAAAATAGACGGTTAATTTCTGTTGAAATGTTGCAAATTAAAGATCTTAACATGCCTTTATGCATAACGTAAAACAAAACTAACCGCCATAGTATATTAACCAATACAACTGGACGCAGAATAGATGTAACAGTAACTTAAAACAGAATTGATAACCTTAGATTTTTCTCGAAACAGCGCGTTCACACCAAGTACTTTTCCCACAATAGTTCATGAGAGCTCTTTTAGTTCTGATGAACTAAAGCAGATCGCGTTCACACCAAAATGAGTTCCTGGGGGTGGATTAGGCAAATGAACCGCTGACGTCACTTCTTCTTCTTCTGCTTTGGGTTTACTGGCAGGCCGCGCGAACAACTTCACGGCGAGTACAGTAGGTGGCGGTATGCACCTTAAAGTTGCAATCCGCCCAAAAAAACGAAAGAAAAAGAAGAAGAAAAACCTCCCGCGCCCACTTGCTGTAAATGAGGCGTCTGTTTACCTTCCGACCTCAGACATGAGCTTCGTCTGCGTTATTTAAGCAAACACAAATAGAGTGGCGAAGTCCCTCCCCTTCCGGTGGACCTCCATGGGACCTTATTTCGGAAAAATTATGTATTTAAGTCAATGGAGAGAGAAAGATTATCTTTCGATCCCGTTTGAATTGTGCCTCAAATTAAACATATGATGTTTGTCAATTTAAAAGATATCATATTTCAGTATATAGGTGTCAAATACTTATTTCACTTCAGGGTGATAGCAGGACACCCCATCTAGTCATCAGGGAGAATCAGGACAATCTGATTTAGAGTTTCAAAATAAAAGACCTTTGAAGTCTCATATATGAGCTATCATGCCTCTGTTTTAGATAAAAATAAAACAAAAACTCTCCAGTATCAAAGACTCATTTCACTCCAGGGTGATAGCAGGACACCCATGGATGTATAATAAGAACTGGATACAGCGTGGGAGGCGGGGCCTCATTCATTCCTATGAGAGTTGCTCATTCGCGCATGATGATAAAATGGCCCAACTTTTGAGAGAGCGAAACGTCACAGATTACCCGGCATGCCTGAGAAGTACCCGTATGTGCGCTCATAGCGCATGCGCAACTTTAACCATGCCCCCCAAAATGCTCGTTCACATCAAGCACGTCAATTCGCGTACACGTAACAGCACCACACGTTCATGACAGCATGGTAATGGTTTGTTATTATGATAGATTTGATATTAACGAGGCGGCAGTTAGCAGCTAGCGGTTAGCTAGTAATTATGCTAATTTAATTTACACATCAATCGTTATGTACTTTTATATTACGCTGTAACAGGATCTAGTGATATCCAAGCAACAGAGCTTCATTTAGCATGAAAGAATTATTGCACTGTATATATATATATATATATATATATGTATATATATATACAGTGCAATAAGCTTCTTAGTGCAATAAGAAGCTACAGTGACGTTAATCTACGTCGGTAATATTAACTTTATTTAATACAACATTTACGGTACAAGATTTAATCATACAGCCCATGTAGTATAATATTTTACAAATGATGAATTACAGCAAACATGTGCAATATATTCATTATTACAGCTCCGTGGGCTGGCAGTAAGGCGATATGGGACGGGTCCGTTCTTATTGTACATCCATGGGTAAAGATAAACGCATGTACTAGTGCTGAACACGTAACATGAACGTGCCGGGCGGCGCGGTCCCGTGGGTTAGATGCGCGTTCATAATGCAGAGGGAAATAACTCTCAGAATAACGTTATTAGCACATTTTTACAACTTGAGGAACGAATGTTTTTAATAAGGGCTATACAAGTGTTCATACTGGGTAGTTTATTTAGTTTAAAAAAAATTATCCAACGATTTACAGACCACTCTTTCCCCATGTAAGTCAATGGGAAAAAGTGTTTCCGGGCCTGGCAACCAAAAGGAAGTGTAGTACTGCCGTTTGGCCAGCACGAATATTTTCATCAGAGTCCGGCGCACTTCCTGGGGGCTTGAGGACACCCCATCTAGTCACTCAGAGAAAATAAGGACAATCTGATGTAGAGTTTCAGAATAAAAGACCTTTGAAGTCTCACATATGACAGATTGTCCTTATTTTCTCTAAGTGACTAGATGGGGTGTCCTGCTATCACCATGGAGTGAAATAAGTATTTGATACTGGAGAGTTTTTGTTTTATTCTTATCTAAAAACAGAGGCATGATAGCTCATACAATAGAGACTTCAAAGGTCTTTTATTTTGAAACTCTACATCAGATTGTCATTATTATCTCTGAGTGACTACATGGGGTGTCCTGCTATCACCCTGGAGTGAAATAAGTCTTTGGTACTGGAGAGTTTTTGTTTTATTCTTATCTAAAAACAGAGGGATGATAGCTCATATGAGACTTCAAAGGTCTTTTATTTTGAAGATCTACATCAGAATGTCCTGATTTTTACCGAGTGACTAGTTGGGGTGTCCTGCTATCACCCTGGAGTGAAATAAGTATTTGATACTGGAGAGTTTTTATTTTATTCTTATCTAAAAACAGAGGGATGATAGCTCATATATGAGACTTCAAAGGTCTTTTATTTTGAAACTCCTTAAGTTTTACATTCACTCATTTATAATGTGGTAGTTATACGTAGTTTGTTTTAAATAATTATTGATCACATTATATAGTACATATTTCTTAATTTAATATGTTTGGTATGTTTTTTAGGTGTATTTGTTATTGACCGAGTAAGCGCTTTTATTTTGAAGGCAGTTTTTCCAGGACTCTACCGTAATGCATAGGATATTCGCGCACCGCAATATCACGTGCGGACTGGCTTGACTGCGTTTTCCCAAGTGGAGGCTGGCTTGACCGCAGTGTTTTATCCCGGAGGGAAAAGCTAACTAGTTTCCAATCCAGAGAGAAACACCTCGCCTGAAACACACGATGAGTGCCATGAGTTAGTGAAGCAATTACAGAACATTGCACACTTATTCACAAGTCAAAACGTGTTCATAGCGGGCACGGCTGAGAATAGCTAGCTAGCTATTGTTAGCCAGCTTGGACCTGTTAGCCAGTTCTAGCATGGCTAGCTCGATCTACTGAGCAAATAACAGTACATCTGAGACCAGTATTGTGCAGATTAAAACAGTGCAGTGCATGTATTTTAGTTTACCTTCGTCCCGACATGACTTTGCCAGGTCTGCTAACTTTGCTGAACCACGGAAACTGCATTCAGTAGAAGCTTCTGAATGCGGCGCTTCGCGTCCTCCGAGTAAATCGCCAGAAGCGCCGACACATCCTCATCACTCCACCGCTCCGATGATTTATTTAGTGTTGCCATAATAACTGCTTTCACAAAAGTAATCCACTCGTTGGTGCGCTGTGCTGAGCTTAATGCGAGCAAATACAATAGCGGCCTTCAAAAAGATTCTAGAGATTCACGGGGCGTTGTTTGCATTCCGCACAGCCAATCAGACGTATGAACTATTTTCTCCCACAACAGTCCCTGCTCTCTAGCAGGGACTGAAAAGCGGGTCAGATGAACTAATTTGAACTACTTTAGTTCCTGGGGCTTTTTGGTGTGAACGCAAATATATCGTAGTTCTGATTAACTACTGTGGGAAAAGTACTCCGGTGTGAACGCGCCTGCAAGGCGCTCGACTCTACTTTGCCTGCTAAAAACTGTGGAAAACAGCAGTGTGTCTTGAACAGATCCCAGCTCATTAGCATAACCCCGGTTCGTCACTTCGTGTTGGCGCGAACACTTCAGTCCCAGAGGGTGCTGGTTTTAGTTATCCGTTTAGCCCACCTCCGTTTCGCTCTTACATTAGCTTACCGTCCACGTGTTTCGGCAAAAATGATTGGACAAAAAACGATTAACTCATTTTTCTCTCCAGTCTCGAAAAAGAGGAGTTCTAAGGACGTAAATGAATCCGAGAAGGATGCAAAACACCCGGTGAGCACAATGTATATTACTTTAGTCTGTCATTTACCATTAGCCTCATGTAACGTGGGCAATGCTAACATATATGCATATTAAAACATCACTTACATTGTACTTGCATTCGTATTTAAAACAGGGATTCGTAGTTTCCCGCGACACGTGCAGTGTAACCCAAGCTGCGTTCACAAGCACTGCTGTGTTCTTGATTGTTGATAAAAGTGGTGCAATAGTCCGCCCCCTACGATATGTTTGTACTACATTGTCGAAGGTTTTTAAAGCCTCAAGCGGCACCTTTCTCTCAAGTTTTGTATTTTGCTCAATACACCAAAATTGTGCAGAAGAAGTCAAAGTCCTCGGCGGTGGAGTCGGAGGTCTCCAGCCCGTCTCCTGCTCCTCTGTCCCCGGATCAGCTGGAGGGGATCGCCCGCAACAAGAGAGCAGCAATGGAGAAAAGGACTTCCGCAGAAACACCTCCAGGGTTTGGGGAAAGTTGGAGAGAGGGTCTGTCAGCAGAGTTTGAAAAGCCTTATTTTAAAAAAGTAAGAGAAAAACGAATAAAACTGCTCGTATAGTGTGTCTCTTGTGTTTTGAACAGTTTGAATAACTTTATATCTGTGCCACAGTTGATGGATTTTGTTTCTAAAGAGAGGACGAGCTGGACTGTATACCCTCCTGCTGAAGAAGTCTTCACCTGGACCCAGATGTGTGACATCCGAGATGTGAGTTTATCTGCACCCCTTAAACCCCCTTCATTTGTAATTGACCCATGGCATAAATAAGATAAGATAAGAAGTACTTTATTGATCCCAATTTTAGGAATTTTAGGAGGCAGAAAGTATAATATAAATACAAAAACAAGATGCACAAATGTGTAGAAAAATAGCTTTAATATAGACTAAATATGTTTTAAAGGTTGGCGTACATGTAGCTTTTCTGTGTCTTTGTTTGATGCTGTTCCAGAGTCAAAACAATAATAAAATGACATTGTTTTAGCCTTGCTCTGAATGCCTGACGCCCCTTGTAGTGTCCTTTAACTTCAACAAACATGTATACCATCTTCAGTTCTATCTGTAAATCTGCACATTGATATTGTATATTCAAAAGAGATACTCTAGATAAACATATTTTACTGTTGATATGTACACATGTACTGTTCTGTTTTGTTTATTTTCTATTTTTTTGTACTGCTTATACATAAATTGGCTGTTTATATCTATTTTCCTTAACTTTTCATTCATGTGCAATGCGTCTACATGCTGCTGTGACAAAAATAATTTCCCAAACTGGGATCAATAAAAGTATATCTTATCTTAACAAACATACCCCCAAACAATAAACTTAAACTGTTTTATTTATTTATTGTGAGACATCCTCCCTATCACTACGCTCCTGCAGTATTACATTGCATTCATAGCTTTTGGGACATAAATTGACAAGCATATCTTGGCACCTCCCATGCTCTAAATCCATAAAAAGCCGCCTACACAATGCAGCAGGCACTGAGGACAACACATGGATAATTAGAGTGCAACGAAAAATGGAAAATCTGAGTTAGTGGCAACTTATTTTATGTTGCTGAAGATCTGTCTCTATTTCCAGGTCAAGGTGGTGATTCTTGGCCAGGATCCATATCATGGTCCTAACCAAGCCCATGGATTGTGCTTCAGCGTCAAAAAGCCAGTGCTTCCTCCACCCAGGTTAAAACATGTTCATTATCTCTGCCTGTGATCAGTCTTCTTACTTAAAATCACACAATCCAGTCGTATGCAATGCTTTGACATATTTAACACACATTTTGATGCTTTTTATTTGTAGTTTGAAGAACATGTACAAAGAACTGGAGACGGACATTGAAGGCTTTCAGCCCCCTCAACACGGAGATCTGACTGGATGGTCCGAACAAGGTTATTTTAAAAAAAGCAGTTTGTTGAATGTTTACGCAAAGATGATAGCAATTATCTGACTGCCGTCTTCTCCATCTGTGTCCTCGCTCAATCAGGTGTGTTGTTGCTCAATGCTGTGTTGACCGTCCGAGCGAGCAACGCCAACTCCCACAAAGACAAAGGCTGGGAGACGTTCACTGACGCCGTCGTGCAGTGGCTCAGCAACAACCAGGAAGGCCTGGTGTTCATGCTTTGGGGAGCGTATGCTCAGAAGAAAGGAGCTGCCATTAACAAGGTTAGTCTGCAGCACTGTGGTTTTAAAAGAAAGCGTATTTCTAATGTTCATGCATCTAAGTTCATGTTCTCTGTATCTGCAGAGACGCCACCACGTCCTGCAGGCGGTGCATCCTTCCCCCCTGTCCGCTCGTAAAGGATTCTTCGGGTGCAGCCATTTCTCCAAGGCCAACGAGCTCCTGGTGCAATCGGGAAAGTCTCCCATAAACTGGAAGTCTCTTTAAACTGTTTTTCATGGTTCTTAACATGAATGTTAGTTCACTACAGATCAAAACCCACCCATAAGCTTTCACAGTTTCCTGTTTTATCAATAGAATGTGCAGATATTTCTTTATGAGAGTCAAGAGTTCATGTCAGTAGTTGAAAATATTAAGTTTTTTGCTATACACTGAATATTCTTAAATATATCTTTCTCAATATGTTTTTTCAACATTGTAAATATGTCTGTGTTTTCTGTTTACTTTTTTTATTGAAATGTTGGTTCTATTAAAGAGGTTCCAAATAGTGGATATTGTTTATTAATGTTTCTTAATGTGATCACTCAGCCAGCTACCTCAGATACACAAACACAACATACCAAGTGGAGCAGTTCACGTCCCACTGCATTTCAGAATCACTTTACATTAGTGTTACATGCACAAGGCTACATATAATATAAGGCCACTGCTTTTCCTGCAAGTCAACATGTCTGCCATGATGATGGTCAGTAATTTCACCAGCTGTCACTTTGCTTAAACTAACACAAGTTGCCTAAGTTGAATTAACATTCAAGAGATAAGTTAAGTCAAATTAACCAGTAGTGTAAAGTAACTAAGTACATTTACTCAAATACTGTACTCAAGTACAACTATGGAGAGAATTTCCTTTTTTTTTTACTTATACCCCAATACAATTGTAAGGTGCACTTTTACTCCACTACATTTATTTAATACCTTTACTGCAGTTACTTAGCATATATATATTTTTTAAATGTAAAATATAATCAACATTTAAATAAGACTTGCGTTACACATGGAGTAAAATTCACAAGCTAACCTTCAGTGTACAACGTCATTAAAACTAGTTCCACCTTTACCAGCTTTGATAACAGTTTAATGCATCAATAATTATAATACAAACATATATTATTCTTAAATGGGAGAATCTGCACTTTTACTTTTGGTACTTTTAGTATATTTTGATGCTAATACTTTTGTGCTTTTACTTGAGTAACAATTTGAATGCAGGACTTGTAACAGAGTATCCTAAACTCTGGTACTTCTACTTTTACTTAAGTACAAGATCTCAGTACTTCCATCCCACTTCTGAAATCAATTTATATAAAACATAATGCAGGGAAGTTGCCTTGTTTAAAACTAGAAAATAAACACTGTCCTTTTAATAAATTGACCTTTACAACAGCACCCTCATGTGCAGAATCATTTGGGGGTAAACAAACAGGAAGTAATTCGCCTTCTTGTCGACGTAAAGGCGCGGCTCTGCCAGTGACGTAATGACGTAGACAGGAAGATATTGGAAAGCTCCTTTTAAACTTTGCCCCTATCAGTCTGGTAATGTTTGTGCAGTTAAACTACTGACAATGCCTGTGCAGAGCCTGCCAGTCCGGGATGCGTCCATACATTTCCGTTTACTGCAGCAGTATCTGGTTCTTCTGAAGAATTACCCCATCCTTACTAAGTCTGTGACGAGGTCTGTAGCTCTGCTTATTCCCTGACTGTCACTGTTCTGCAGCCTCGTGCTTGTTTCAAGTTGTTTGCACAGTTTGACATTCAGAAAAAAATCAACGTGTTTTTGTATAGATTACTGTTTACTACATTGTAATATGTCGTAATATATCTGCAGAGGTACGGAGAAGTACTCAGATTAAATAAAAGTAGAAGTATCTGAGTGTAGGAATACTCTGTTACAAGTAAAGGTACCTGCATTTAAAATGTTACTCGAGTTAAAGTACAAAAGTATTAGCATGAAAATATACCTAAACTACAAAAGTGCTCATTATGCGGGTTGGTCCATTTCAGAATAATATATATTTGATGTTTTGATTATATGTTATTGATACATTAAAGTGGTATCAAAGCTGGTAAAGGTGCAGCCTATTTATTTAATATATTTGAATACTGTATAGGTAACTGGTGAATATAATCCAGGTGTCTTATTTAAGTGTTGATTATATTTCACACCATTAATGCAAATCTGCAAGGTAACTAAATGTAATAAATAAGTACCCTATTTAACTTTGAACTTTATTAGGGTAGAAGTCCAAAGTAGCAAAACATTTAAATAAATAAATACCTTTACTGTAAATGATTATATTTTATTGATGCATTAAAGTGTTGTCAAAGCTGATAAAGGTGCAGCTAGTTTGAATGACTTTGTATTCTGCAGGGTAG